TCTGGGCTGGCAGGAAAGCAATCCTATTGGTGCTCTTGCTCAGGATGGAAATTTCACATGCAGGCTGAGTCTACAGGGCCGCTATAATGCTGGAACAAGAACATGTACTGGGGAAAGGGCAGTCTTCAGGTACTTTTAGGCCCTGCACAGCTTTCCTCTGAAACATGGACGTGTGGCATGTACAGTGTGTACAAGGTCTTCAGCCAAATATAGATGGCACATGGAAGCAGCATCAGCCAAATCTCCCCTGTGGAACCCTGGCTTGCCAGGGAACACAGCACACAGAGCTCAGTCCTTCTTCCAAAGCCGGCTACTTCTGAGCAGGGGAAGCTCCATAAGAAAGCATTCTGGAACTTGAAGGCATTTAACTTTGGAGTTGATGTTCCAATCCTGAAGTTTAGAAGTCCTGACAGTCCTCCAAGTTTGTGTTGTGTTATGTAATCCATTCCATGTTAAGCCTTCAAACACATAGGAAGTAGGCTGTGTTCTGCACCAGGCCCTGGCTCTGAAGTCAGCTTGAGTTGCCTGGGTGCAGAGGTCAGGCCTGCAAGACAGGCAACCACAGGTGGGAAAAATGGGGAAGCTGCCTTGTGAGCCATGAACAGAACCTAGCTCCAGCCCTAGATCCCAAAGCCTTCCCTGCCCCAGCTGCAAAGCATTGCCTCTCTCAGGCTGGGTAAAGAGACATAGGTTGGTGGCTAATAGGCTGGACTAGAAGCTCAGTTCTACCCTGTGTGGCCTAGGGAAAATATCTTCATGTCTCTGATTTTTAGACTCCTCTCTAAAATAGCTATAGCTAGGCTGAGCTACTCTGAAAGCCAGTCTACACAGCACTGGGCTTACAGAGGCACCTCACTCACCAGACACAGCCCCCAGACATGTTATATGGCAGACAAGCATTGCCCAAGGTTCTATTGGATGCTAGGTCTGGGTTATCGCACAGCTATTATTGGTTCCATTTAGAGATGGGAAAACAGGTACAGCACCACAGGAACTTGCCCAAGGTTGCAAGCCTTACAAAGAACAGACTTGGAACCAGCCCTGACCAATACCTCAGTGCCCTTCTCTGGACACCAAGCTGTTCAGCCCATCCAGTGGGTGTTGGGTCCTACTTTATAAACAAGCTTCCCAGGAGAGTCAAAGAGAGGGAGTTCAACACAGCATGGCTTACATACTGGAGGAAAGTAGTGACGGTGGAAAAGAGAGTGGCCAGGCCATGGGAGACACACAGAGCAGATGTGGCTAGAGCCTGCAGCAGCTGAGGCTGGAAGAGCCATGGTGGGGCCCAAGATGCCATGGGAAACAGAGTCAAGGCACAGGGCCAGCTCCTCTTTCCCTACCCACTAGACCTAGCCAGCCATTAGAGAGCAGGGAGGTTAAGGAAATGCCTGATAGATGAACTGGACGGAGGAAGTGGTAGGCTAGAGCAAGGTCCAGGCCTTGTGTCACCTGCCAGGAAGGCATGTCCAAGTGTGAGCCAAGGGGAAAGGCAAGCTTCCCAGGGCCACTCCGAACTGGCTCCTGAGAAACAAGCAGGAACTTGCCAGCATAATAAAGGATACTCCCTGATCCTACTCCACTGGAAGGGAACTTGTCCTGTGACAAGATTAGAACTAAGGAGAAAAAAGCTGCCCCCTTGTGTCTGTCATCTTCATTGATTTCTGATAACTTTTCCAGGTGTAGGTGTCCTGTGTCCCCCTTGCCCCAAGCCACACCTTCCACCTTGGAAGCCAGAGACTATATGGGGAAGGGACAAGGGGCTGGCAGTCAAAAGACACAGCCAGAACCACCTGCAGATCACAGTGGTGGCCCTGACACACTCCTGAGCAGCTTTGAGCTCTCTCCTGAGTACACCATCTCAGGCCTGGGGCCCCATCCCTTCCAGGATCTGAGAGTGCCCACATCTATATCTTCTTTCCCTCTAATTGGCTATAGGTGATTCCTAAAGTTTGTTTCCAAGATCCCAGACTGGTACACCTTTCCGAGAGGTAAATCGGAAAATTTCCCCTTTATGAGAAATGTTAACTTTTCTTATGGAATTTTATTATGAAAAATTTAGAACCTCAGACATATATAGCTGTAGAAAGACACCTGGGAACCCAGACAGCAGGCTCTGCAGTGAACATCTTGCTGCAGTGACCTTATCACACTTCTGCCCACTCTAGTACCCAATTATCTATCTCATTTTTAAAACAAACTTTTCATCAGCAAATGATGTTAGGCTAAGATTAAAAATTACAAATCAGAGGACTGGAAAGATGGCTTTGTGGTAAAGAGCAGTAGCTGATCTTGCAGAGGACCTGGCTTTGGTCTTCAGCAACCAAATGGTACTAATGACCATACCTAACTCTAGTTCCAGGAGATCTGATACCTTGGGTACTGCATGCACATAGTGTACTTCCATACACACAGACAAAAGACACACGCACATAAACATTTCAATAAAGAAACCCAAAAAACCCCCTTTTATAAAATTACAAATCAGGGCCTGTGAGATGTCTCAGCAGGTAAAAGTATTTACTACTAAACCTGAAGATACATTTAATCCCAGGAACCCACATGGTGGAAGGAGAGAACTGGTTCCCAAAAGGTGTCCTCTCACCTCCACTCAAGTCATTGACGCCTACACACCCATGCACACAAAATAAATACAAAAAGGTTTTTTAAACTTTCAAACCAGCCTCATCTTCTAGATGGTTTTCCTTCTAACTTTCTAAATTACCAAGAGCTACAACATAGAAAACCCTAAAAACTATCTGGAGAACTTATCTTTATTACCAAGCACAAACTTCCAGAGGTCTCCCAAAGTGTGTATGTCACTGTTCTGAGTAGTGTGTCTGTTAAGGAAAGCAATGGGGTGGGTGGGAGGCAGGACTGGAAGAGGTGGCTCAGTGGTTAAGGGAGTGTTCTACTCTTACAGATGACCTAGCTTGGGTTCCCAGCACCCACATGGGGCTGCTCACAACCACCTGTAAATCCAGCTCCAGGGACTCCAACATCCTCTGGCATTCAAGAGCACTGCAAACCCCAGCTCTGGCCCTCAAGGATGTTGATGTAGACACAGAGAGAATAAGAGATAGTTTAGTTTGGAGCCAAATATTTGTGACCATATAGTATTTGTGGCCTGGGAATAAAGATTCAGGTTACCTCAATTCCTTTTAATGTGTAGCAGTTTCATGAAATTTTGGTTGTTTTTATAAGCTCAAGGACAATTTATTAGAATTTATGAGGAAAACCCCAGGACAGACAAGCTGTAAATCTTGAAGGTTCCTGGAAGGGAGGTGAGGAGAGAAGGAACAAAAGCCAAATGACCTGAGAAGACCATGGAGGTCAGCCACCTGGGACAGTCAGACACACAGTGAGGAGGGGAGCTTTAAAAATGAGCAATGAAGTCCAGAACATTCGATAGGGAGTTCAAAAGCATACTTAGGCTCTCGTCATCATCCCACCATATTAAAAAAAAAAAAAAAAAAAAAAAAAAAAAAAAAAAGAAACAGGCCCGACTCAGAAAGGTGGACAGGCCCATTCAAACCTTATGGTGGTTTGGCTCATAAGGACTGCCTTCATGAAGTTCTTTTAGTAATGGAACAAAGTCATAAATCAAGACACTTTGCAATACATTGGTGAGAACATCAGGTAGATGGGCTACAGAAAAACAGGGAACTCTCTGTTACAGGCCTCAGAAGCTACTGATGGCATTCCTAGTCTTGGGTTGGTGGAAGGTAGGACCTTGTACATTCTGAGAGGATCTACCTAAGTCACAAGAATGTATGAACAGAGATGGCTAGTGTATGGTTATTTAGAAGGCTAAGACAGTCCAAAAGAATTTGGCTCTGGACCTGCAGCATTCCATCTCCCCACAATCACTGAGGTTTTAATCAGTCAATCATCCTGTGTGTTCGATACAGGCACAGCTTTTTTTTTCTGGGAACTTCAGTTCACACTGGCTCCTGATGTAGATGGGGTTGGAATAGACCCTCCTCCTCAGGGTGGCCATGGGCATTAAAGGGTAGATTTGTATTAAGTGTATTGAGCAGCGCCTGGCCTGTAGGAGGCACCATGTAAGGAAGGGTTTGTGAGACTTAGGACAAGTCACAGTAGATCTGCTGATGTCAACAGAGTGGCAGCACCCTCCCTTGCTTCCTTCTCTTTCGGTGGTTTTTCTAGATTCCTATACACCTCATGGTGTGGAGTTAAACCATTCTGGAAATATTTGCTTTCCAGACTGAGTAAGTGCATCTCTTGATTCACTCAACCCCAAACCCAGTGAAGTTTCCTGGGTTATTCTGTCTCCTGCAAGGAGGCTGAGGCTAGAAGTTGGGGACCATAGACACAGTGTAAGGGGCCTTCAGTGCCAGGGTACAAGGGGCCACTTATTAGCTGCATAAGAAAGGAACACCGGCAGAGGCCACATTCAGGACTCACAACACTTTTTGCCTAGCTCCCACATTGCTCTGTGGGATATTGTCCCCTCTGGAGAGTCAAGGGACCTTGCTTGGTCCATCTCTGCTAGGCCCCTCTGCCCTCCCACCCCCAGCATTCCTGCCTTGTAGCTATCTCTCCATCAGCTGTGGTGGCGTGGTGGAGAACCAGGAGCTAGCTGCTGGGTTGTCTTTTTCACATCACCGGCGTACAGACTGCTCCTGAGTCCCCCTAAGGCCCTCATGTCCCTGAGGAACCAGGCCCTTGGAGGGTCCCCAGGTCAGGACCCTGACAATCTCAAAACCGTGATGGATGCGGCAGGAAAATCTGGGGGTTAGAGGGGCTGTTATGCTGGGGGAACACACACTAGGCCCTGGCTGCAACATCCAACTGATGAACCAGTAGGAACCGGATGTGCCCGGCTCCTGCTCACCATTCCTTCCCTCCGGTTTCCGTTGAGCTGGCATCTGTCACCAATAAATTTTCCCCTACCACAGTCCGGCAGCTGAACTCTGGGCCTCCCAGCCCCGCCTCCGTGATTTGGTGATGTCACAACCCATGTGAAGAATGGTTGCCTGGGCAACATTAACGCCATAAACGCAGTTCAGGACCGGCAGAGTGGAGAACCGGGGCTCTGAGGCTTCGGAGCGAGCCCGGCACTTGTGGCCGGTGGGTGCGCGCGGGGCCTGGGCCGGGGGTTCCAGGCCCGGTGGCCCGGGCACGCGTGGTGAATCCGTCCTAACATCTTAGCAAGGCCCCCTGCAAGGCTCCCAGCCTTTCCTTTCTGCTTTCTGCTTCCTTTGTGACAGGCCAAAGCCCCTTTCCATCCCTCTGTCGCTGCGTCCTTGTGCGCTCTCGCTAAATCGCTAAGGGGCCCCAGGGCACCATAGAACAGAGGGTATTAGGAGGCAGGATTCCTGGGGGCGGGGGGACGTCCGTGCCATAAGGGTCTGTCGCAGGCATGTGGCAGGTATGGCCCAAGTTGCAAGGAACTCTGGCTTGATCCCCAGCACCTGTCTTTCCTGGTTGGGAATTCCAGCACATGCCTCTGCAAGTATGAAAGTTCATTCCCTAGTTGAGGGGTGCCTCATCACATCAGGAGGTCTGACAGGTGGAAGGGGGGCCTGTTTTCATGCAACTTGCATTCTGTGGGAAACAATAAACAGACCTCTTTAAACTATGTTGCAGTAAAGGGGCATTGTGTGCATTGGTGGTTGAAGGAAAGGCTCTCAGCTGACATCTGAGCTCAGATTTGAAGGGAGATAGACTTTCAACCTAAGCTAGGCAAGAGGCTGCAAAACCAGAGGCCCCAGGCAGACCAAAGCTGGTGTGTTCTAACAACAGGAAGATCCAGGCAGCTGAGCTGCCCAGGAGGGGACAGTGGACCCCACTAAGCCTGGATGCAGGGCATAGGCAGTGTAGGCCACATGGTGAGGCTTCTGGAAATGCTAGCTGTTGTTAACCACCCAGGGTTGAGGTGGGATGTGGGTTTGGAGGTCCACCCACTCAACTACTGTGTCACTCCCCAGGCAAGGCACTCCTTCAACTAAGGCCAAGCTTTGCGCTGCCTGTTGGTCCTCAACCATGATGCCCAAGACCCATTCCTCTTTGTCCCCTGTGAACGTGAACGTGACCGATGACAGTAAGTACTGAGCTGGGTGGGGCCTCTCAGAAGTCAAAAGGAGCCTTGAAGCCTGGGATAGTTAGGTCTAGACTCACTCAAGGTTTAGGTGGGTCTAAATCAACACAAGGTATGAGTTTCTTATGGCTGTTGTGACATTGGACCCCTACTGACTGGATGACTTAAACTCACAGTTTGGAGGCCATGTGGGAGAGGAAGGTACACAGGGCTGGTGCCCTTCTGAGGCTCTGGGGAGTCTGTCCCAGGCCCTCCTGGCTTCTCTTGGGTGCCTGTCTTCTTGACTGCTCTTGGCTTTAGGGGTGCTAACCATCTCTACCTTTCTGTTCCCATGGTGTTGTTCCCGTATCTCTGTGCCCCAGTGTCTCTTGTATCAGTGCAGGAGTATGTTGAATTGGGGGACCTCCTTATGCCAGAATGGTCTTGGCTTAATGGAGTACGTCTGCAAGGACTTTATTTCCAGACAAGGCCACATTCTGAGGTGCTGAGGTAGGGACTTAAATATGCATGTTTGGAAGGACACATTTCCTCTCCATAGCAGCTCAGGAGAGATGACACCATGGAAGCAAGCATCTCCCAGCTTTCTGCTGCCATGGCTACAGGGCTGAGCCCAGAGGAGGTAGCCGGCTTCTGCTAGCCATGGGTGAAAGAAGTCTTTCCTCGGTGGAAATGACCTGCATGCTGTCAGGTGCTCTCAGTGGGTGGCTTTGAGGGAAGCTGTGAGGTGGACAAAGGGGACAGTACCGTCTCTTTGCTCTCTCCCTTCAGCTTTTAAATTCTAACTTAATGTGTTTTTGGGGGAAAGTCCTCCATGGCTCAAACTCCCAAACTGTGTTCCCAGTCCCCCATCTATTTGAAAGCCTACCTTCAACCTGCCTTGCCTGCCCAGAGTCACCTCCAAGCAAGCTCTGGGCACAAGCAAGCAAAAATGAGGCTACAAGTTATCCTTTTCCCACACAATAAAATTGCTTTCTGCACGTGCTTTGTCCATGAGTGCGTCCATTAAGAATTCCCAGAGATGAATTCCCAGGAGTGGTGGTGCACACCTGAAGTCCCAGCAGTGGGGCAGCCCTGGTGGGAGGATCATGAGTTTGAGGTCAACCTGGGCTATATGCTGAGACCCTGTCTCGAAAAACTTAAAAACAATTGACATTTTGTGCTTTTGAGCAGATTAGTAATGGAACATGCTTTATCACCAGTCTGAGACAATGGGCACTTTGCTTTTTTAAAAAATGCACTACTTTAGCCGGGCGTGGTGGCACATGCCTGTAGTCCCAGAGCTTGGGAGGCAGAGGCAGGCGGATCTCTGTGAGTTCAAGGCCAGCCTGGTCTACATAGTGAGTTCCAGGACAGCTGGGGCTACAGGGAGACCCTGCTTCAAAAAGACAAAATAAATAAATAAATAAATTTTAAAAAATTTTAAAAATAATAAAAAAATTAAAAATGCACCACTATAAATATCTTACTAGGACACTTGTGAATTTTCTCTTTCTCTCTTCCTCTCTTTCACTCAGAGTAAATTAAAAACTGAAGGCTGAAGTATACAGGTGACAAATTACCTGTTTTCACACACAGAACAGTACAGGATAACTCTATTACAAGACGATGGAAGGACGTAACACTGTGTGGATGCACCTCGGTCTGTTTAGTTGGGGCACCCTGTAGTGCTGAGGCAGAGCATCAGACAGTGGTTTGAGAAACTTGAAGGTCTATGAGTATGTGGGAAAGCTAGGTCAGCCAGGCAGACCTGGAATTGGAAGGCCTAAGCCAATGGTGAAGGTCAGGGAGAGCCCAGAGTGGGCCACAGCTCCCTATCAGGCCTGGGACTACAAGACCAGCCCAAAAGATCTGGTTCCCAGATCTCAGCAACCAGCCTCAGTGCAGGGCCCATTTAGGGACACAGGGCTCCTGATAGCCAGTCCAAAATCCATCCTGACCATCATGATGGGGGGTTGTTCACTGAGTGACAAAATTATATTTGACTGGAAACCAGGCTATGGTGCAGCCCTGTGGACAGTGGGTAAAGCTGGTCGTCCACATGTGCTGCCCACACTGGGTCACTCTGAGGCCGTGGTCATTTCACATATATTTCCTGGGCACCTGCGGTGTGTTAGGCTCTGTGCTGGTGGCACAGGGGAGATGAGACAGAGAAGGTGCCTTGGAGTTTGGGAGGGGCAGCAGTAAGCAAGCCCTGCCCTTTGGGGATCCAATCCTGCTCTACCACTGACTCAGGATAAGCACACAGAACTTCCAGTGTCTGGGCACCTCTCCTAAGATGTTCTTGTTTTTGCTTTTTTAATTTAATTACATGTATTCTTATAGATGTGTGCTGGCAGGGGGCATGTGTGAATCAACAGCATATGTGTGGAGATAAGAGAACAACTCGGGGGGAATAAGTTCTCTCCTTTTACCATGTGGGTTCCAGGGATCAAACTTAGGTCAGGCTTGGTGACAGGCCTATGGCTGCTGAGCCATCTCTCCAGCCCTTTGGGACCTTCTTGCCCCAGATTCCCCTTGTGGCTTCCTCCATGGAGCCCCTTCAGGTCACACAGTCATATAGTGATGGCCCTCCGAACATCCCATTCAAAACCTGGACCCCCCCCCCCCCCCCCACAACCCCCCCCAACACCCCTACTCCTTTTTCCTTCTTTTTTTTTCCCGCACAACATTTCCCTACCATCACACCTCTTCTTGGTGACAGGCCTATGGCTGCTGAGCCATCTCTCCAGCCCTTTGGGACCTTCTTGCCCCAGATTCCCCTTGTGGCTTCCTCCATGGAGCCCCTTCAGGTCACACAGTCATATAGTGATGGCCCTCCGAACATCCCATTCAAAACCTGGCCCCCCCCCCCCACACACACACACCCCGCCAACATCCTCATTGCTGTTTTCTGCTTTGTTTTTCCCAGGAACACTTTCCATCACTGGACCTACTTGCCCGTCCTTTATTTGCTCTCTCCCTGGTAGACTGTTTTTCCAGAGCCTGGCATATAACAGGCCATCAGTGGAAATCTGGTAGCTAGAGAGTATGCCCCACCCCCTGAGAGAGGCAACGATGTCCAACCTGGCATGACATATTCTAGCCAGAACAACTAGGCAAGAAAAAGAAATGATGGTCTTCCAACTGAAAAGGGGTAGAGGAGTTAGGTTATTCACAGATGACACAGCCTTTTATGTAGAAAACCCTAAAGAATCTACAAGAAAGCTGCTAGAGGTGACATATGAATGTAACAAAGCCTCAGCCACCAATTAGCTGTGCCTGTTCACCAAGAGACGCTCCAAAAGAAAACAGGACTAACAGTTCCTTCTAGTGGAGTGCAAAAGGACAGACTTCCCAGGGATACAGTGGGGTCATGGATGATGGTGGTCAGAACACCCGGGAATCCATCCCTCCACCAGAATAACTGAGCTGGCTGGAACCAGAACTAACTAGTTTGTGGGTAGGCCCCTTCTCCTTCTTTATAGTATTTATTTATTTTTCAACATACAAGGAATGATTTTGACTCTGGACTCTAGTCAGACAATCATAGCTTCCAGGGGAGAGAACTTGATGAAGAGCTTGGTAAACTCCTAGGAGGCTGGAAAGGTGGCTCTCATTCCTAATAGAGCCTCCTGTGACCTTTGTCTTGCAGAGAAGGGCCAGGCTTGACTGCTGACGTTGCACCTGACTGCTGAAGGGCTGCACAGAGCAGCCTACTGCTTCAGCTCCACTGGCTCCTGCCCTCTTACCCTCCATCTTTGGAGAACTAGATATTTATTTGACATTTAGAAATCTTTGACAGATTAAAACCCAGAATATACCCCTTTATAAAGCCCAACAATAAACAGTAAAGAATCCAGTCCCCAAAGGGGCAAGAAGCTTAACAGACACCTCTCAAAAGATATACCAACGAAAAGCTGTGCATATCAGGGAAGTTAAAGTCAAAACCCAGATGAGACAGTCATTCACATGCGTTAAGCCATTGTCAATAAGTGACTATCCAGAAGACAGCTGGTGTTGGTGAGGAGCGGAAGTTGAAAGACCTTTATCTCACTGGAGATGTAAAAGGAGCAGCCACTGTGGGAGCAGTCTGGCAGATCTTCCAAAAAGTGCAAAACAGAATTCACACGTGACCCAGCAATACTTTTAGACATGTGCACAAGAAGGCTGAGTGACTGGATGAGGGTAAGGGGGTGGGGGCAAGGCTGGGGAGCCCAGGGTCATGTGGCTTAGTGGGCTTAGTCTAGGTGCCCTCCACCCCACCCTGTGTGCTTTAGTGTTGTGACTTGGTTTAGTATGAGTGTTGGAGAGCTGTTCTGTCTGCACACATCCCCACTGGGTGCTGGTTGTAAACATCCTGGTGACTCACTAACATGCATGTACCTGCTCTGAGGGCTAACTGGGACCCAAGACTTTGCTGTTTCCTAGGGTACTGCAGTATACCCTATACATGCACACCCACAGACAGTCCACATACCCCTAGGATCAAACAGCACTTGCCAGTTGAGGACCAGGACATCTTTTATCCAGCGATGTCTAGAGACCCCTAGATCAAGACCAAGTTGACCTGCATGGGTGGGCAGCCAGGAAACAAGGGCAGCTCTGTGACACAAAACTGTCTCTTAAGGACACCTGGCCCACCATGCCTGGGGAGAGGGGACCCCAGGAAAGGGGGTCTTTCTCTTGGTAGGAGAAAGGGGAATGGAGCCAGGCAGGATTCCACCATTTATTGATTTGGGACCCTCCATGCTGCTCTGCTCCCTCTGAGACAAGAGGACCACTCCAAGGAGAGCCTTTGTTTTGTGATACCAGGATTTGGGGTTTCCCAAGCACAGTGTCACCCAGAGGCGAGAGCAGGAAGGAAAGCTGGAGATGGATAGTCTCAGGAGCCACCAAAAGCAGTCAGTACTGCAGCTCAGATCCTCAGACTTTAATGCTTGGCAGCGCCCTGGAATTCTTGCAGCTGCCTGGTCAGCCTCTTTTCTCTGGCCCTTGAGCTGTCCCAGGTGGGCTCTCTGGAACCACGTTGCCCTAAAGCCACAGCACCAAGCCCAGCAAAAGTAAGCACCTAGCAGTCCGTTGCAGCCACACATCCTGCTTATATATTCAGAAAGGGGATGTGGCAGTGGAGTTTGCACCAGTCTCAGCCGTCCTGCGGCAGTCCCTCATTTGCATGAAGGACTGTGATGCCCCAATCACAGCTTCCTGTAGGCCACCAGGGGGCGCTCCTCTGGCCTAGGCACTAGAAGGTGAACTGTGTTGGTTTTTTCCAGGCCTATCAGACCTCAGAGTGCTGAGTGTACAGGCTGAGGCCCGGAAGTTGTGGCAGTACAAGGGCTGCAGGGCTGACAGCTCCTAGCTTGGGGCGGCAGGTGGGCTAAACTCGGTGATCTAGAGAAACCATTGTGAAAGCTCGGAGATGTCACAATAGTGAAAAAACTTCCAGGGTCCAGCATTGGGCTTGCTGAACTAAGTGCCTGGCTCCTGAATGAGCTGTGCATTTAGAAAAACACGCCTTAATCTCAGCACTCGGGAGGCAGAGGCAGGCGGATCTTCTGTGAGTTCAAGGCTAGCCTGGTCTATATAGTGAGTTCCAGGACAGCCGGGACTACAGGGAGACCCTGTCTCAAAAAGAACAAAAAACAAAACCAACCAAATAAACAAAAAACAACTTTTAAATTATAGTGAACAGCATAAAACAACAGACCATCTTAACCATTGTTAAACGTAAATGTAGTGACACAGCCGGCCCCAGCACCCACAGCCTCTTCTTTGTCCCAAACAGAAATTTTGTACCAATTGAAACAGATTCAGGTGACCCTGTATGCCAATTCTGCCATGAAAGAGTTACATGAACTTTTACAGCCAAATAGCAAATGGAGTCAGAAATTAGAGGAAGGGCAGATAACTCGTGGAGTTGGTAGGCAGGCAAGGTAGGCAGGCAGATGAGAAATTTCTGCTGTGGACTTCAGATGTCTTATGTTTTTAGTTTTAGGCTGGTGGAGATGCAGATTTGCCAAGCTTAATGGCATTCCTTACACATTAAGGCTAAAAGCAGTTGTTATTTATCTCAAGGATTTAAAGCCTAAGGGAATGCTGGCTCGTGACCTGGTGCATTCATTCTGACCTCCATCAGAGTTCCTCTCTGCTGAGGGTAAGCAGCTCACAGGACTCACACACAGCTTCCCCTGAGAACCTAACTTCCATTCCTATGTGCCTCTGTATGGGAAGCTGAGGGCTCTGGGGACCTCATGGCAGTGGAGGCCTGGCCCCCAGCCCCTGTTCTTTGTGACAGCTTGCTTCGTTTAGCACAATGCCCTTGAGGTTCAGCATGTAATCAAACGTATTTGCTTTCAGTGAAAAAGCAAGAGATTTGTGTGCATGCATAAAATACCTTTGTTGTTTTAATATTTTATTTTTATTTTATGTGTATGAGTGCATGTTTGCAAGTATGTCACCCGTGAGCAGTGGGTAGGCATTAGGTTCCCTGGAACTGGAATTTCAGATGGTTGTAAGCTGCCATGTTTGGGTAGTGGGAACTATACTCAGCTTCTCTGCAAGAGCAGTGTGCTGGATAGCTTTAGTGTCAACTTGACACACCTGGGTTGAGGGAGCCTCAATTAGGGAATTTCCTCTATTGGATTGGCCTGTGGCCATGTCTGAGGGCATCTTCTTGTTGAGTGATGTAGGAGGGCCCAGCCCACTGTGGGTGGTGCCACCCCTGGGGCAGGTGGGCCTGTGTTGCATAAGAAAGCAGGCTGAGCAGGGGCTAGAGGAGCAAGCAAGTAAGCAGCATTCCTCCATGTCCTGTGCTCCAGCTCCTGCTTCCAGGTTCCTGCCCTGAGTTCCTACCTTGGGCTCCCTGATCAACTGTGACCTGGGAGATGTAAGACAAATAAACCCTTTCCTTCCTAAGTTGGTATTGGTCAGAGTGTTTTGTCACAGCAATGAAGAACAAACTAGGACGAGCAGCAAGTGCTCTTAACTGCTGAGCCATCTCTCTAGTTCCCATAAAATGCTTTTAATTAGAGATAGGTGCATGCCTGTAATCTCAACACTTGGGAAGTTGAGACAGGAGAATCATGGGTTTGAGGCCAGCCTGGTACATGTTAAAGATTTTTATCTCAAGGGAAAAAAATTCTATGTTAAGATTTTTATCTCAAGGGAAAAAAATTCTATTGGGTAGGGAGAGTGAGTGAGGATGTTTCTCACATCACTTGGACCTGTATCCTATCAGAGCTATAAACCTGAGTTGTTGAAAACTTTTGGTTATATGTATTCCTTTCCTTTTCAGTTAAGAATCAACCAGGTGTGCTGGCATACGCCTTTAGTCCTAGCACTTGGGAGGCAGAGGCAGGCAGATCTCTGTGAGTTTAAGGCCAGCCTGGTCTGCATAGTGAGTTCCAGGCCAGCTGGGGCTACAGAGAGAACCTGTCTCAAAAATAAACAAACAAAAGAATCAAGATTTTCAGTACAATTTTGACTTTATTTTCACTGTGGCTATTAGTTGACTAATTTTTATGATAGGGCTAATAAAATTTTACTACCGAGAAAGTTTACCATAAAACATGAAGAACTGAAAAAACAGGACCAGCTTTGGAGTTTCACCTCAGAGCTCTTCACTCCCTGCTGCAACCCCCCACCCCCCTTGAAACTGGAATTCTACAGGCCCTGCAGGGCCAGGGCCAGCTATATGACCCCAAATCCAGTTGTAGGCCTCCAGGTCCAACTGCAGGTCCTCAGGTTCAGTACAATGCCGCCAGATCAAGCTGCAGGTCCCCAGATCAAGCTGCAGGCCCCCAGATCAAGTTGCAGGCCCCCGGATCCAGCTGCAGAGCCCCAGATCCATTTGCAGACTCCAGGTCCAGCTGCAGATCCAGGTCTGGGTTCAGATTCCAGGTTCTGCTGCAGGACTAGATAGAGTTGCAAGTCCCAGGTCAAGCTATAGGTGAAGCTGCAGGCTTCCAGATCTAGCTACAAACCCAAAGTCCATCTCTAAGCCTCAGATCCAGCTGTGGATCCCAAGTTCAGCTGCAGTCCCTCCAGATCCAGCTGTGGACCCCAGGCCCAGATGCAGACTCCCAGGTCCAGCTTCAGCTCCTCAGATTCAGCTAGCTGTATACCCCTGGCTTGCTTGACCTTCAAAGCTCTCTGCTCACCTTCTACTCGGGGGCCCAGGCCTCCTGGCCCTGACTCCTTTGCCTCCATCCCAAGGCACTTGGGACCACAATTCATCCCTGACCCCCACATCCCAGCCTGGCTCTCTCCTAGTGTCCCCGCAGAGTCTGGGCCTCCAGGCTGCAGTGAGCTCTGATTGGATGGAAGGAGGAAATATAGAGCCATATGCTTCTTACCTATGGGTGTCAGCTGACAATGTCAACAAGGCAGGGGCCCACAGTGACACAATAACCTGAAGAGATGTGCCAGCCCTAGGGGGTCAGGTCACCATCTTCCCCAAGTTGAAGGGGGCAGGACTTCTCAAGGAGTGGGTCTTTGACTTTTTCATTTGGCCATGGGAGGAGTCTTGGACCCTTGACCTGTCTGAGCCTTCTTGCACACATCTCTAAAATGGCCCGGTGCTGCTTACAAGGGCTGTGTGAAGGGGGCAGAGGGAAGGGAAGGTTCGAAACAGCCACTGTCCTAGTGTTCAGGAGAGGAGCACCCATGGCCCTTGTTGTGCACAGCTCTCACAGCTGCTCAGCAGTCACTGTCCTCAACTCAGACATTGACAGAGAGGCTCAGAGTGATCTTAGGCCAGGCTAAGCTGCTACAGCTGGCACACAAGGCAGCTCTGGCTGGAGCCCTGAGTGCCTGGAATCTATGCTCACAGCTATGGCTCTCCTGTTTGTGTCTTACCAGGAACCAGCCTGGAGTACTTGAACAACAGTTCTTCATCGATTATTGACGACAAAAAGAAAAAGGCAAAAAAAGGCAAAGGTAGTTGGGGGCAGGGTGGCTAGAGTCAGAGCCTGGCCCTCCTCCTAGGCACCCCAGGCTTAGTCTCCAGGGTGCAGGGAGGAGGGGAGTGCTGCAGTTCCTGTTGATAATGGAGGACAGAACTCAACAGGAACATCAGGAGGACTGAATTTCCCATGGGTCATGGGAAATGAGTCAGCCAGGGCTCCACAAGCAGCACCCCTGAAGGCATCCAGGTGGCCAGGTCCTAAGTCCTTCTGCTCCACCAGAAAGGTGTTTAGGACTTCCAAATACAAAGTTGTGTCAGGGTCACAGAATGCCGGGGGCGATTGCAGTCTCATCATGTCTGACTCCAGGCAGGAAGAAAGGAGCCAGTCAGTCACATCCACAGTCAAGAGTGGAGAGGAATGGATGTATACAGCTCACATGCCCCACTCTTACGTAGTCCAGGACCCAAACCTAGGGAATGGTGCCACCCACGTGGACCACTGTAGGAAGCCATATCAACCACATCCATTCACTTAATCAATACAAGTCCCTACAGATATACCTACAGACCAACCTGATCTAGATAAGCCCTCACTGGGACTCTCTTCCTAGGTGATCCTAGATTATGTCAAGTTGACAATTCATACTAATTACTATACTGCCCTCTTGTTAATCAGCTTTCCCAAGGAGCCCATCCAGCAGTTTTTGCCCACATTTCATTGATGGAAAGTCCACCTGACCATCAGTATGGATACAGAAGGCTTTGAAGGCAGGCCCATGGCTGCTCCACCTCTCTCCCAGAGCTCTTCACCACCCCATGGCACCTTCTCCAGAGCTGTCCTGCAGTTTCACACTTCTAACATTATTGGGTTGCTGGGGAAGGACCTGCAGGACCTTGTGTACTGCTCACCCCTCTGACTTCCTGACTTCCCAAGGCCCACAGAGAAGGCCCCTGGTGCCCATGCTAGAGCCTTCTGAAAAGCATGAAACCAGGGTTTTGCAGAGCACACCTGCATGAGCCGCCCCCTCCTGGCCCACCTCTGGTTCCCCAGATGGCTCTCTTCCTGCCTCCCTGGGGCATCCAGTAGCTGGCCTATCTTGTACCCTACTCACCCTGCCCCTAGGAAGCCTGACTTTCTGCTCTCAGTACCAGCACATTCAGGGTGCTCATTCCATCTCCCCTCCAGCTCCCCTCCTCCGTGAAAGGAACTTTGCTGAGATTGTAGATGCCAGGACAGAGGGCAGATGCTCAAGGCAGAGGTCCCTGTGCTTGGGGTGTTCTTCAGGTGTTGGGCAAGAGCCAAGCTCCCTTAGGTTCAGCTACAGAGGGAAGTTCATGGGGGCTTCCAGGCCCAGGAGAGGACTTCAAGCATGGCTGGGTACAAAATCATTCATTGATGTTGTGTGTCCCATGCTGGGCTGAGATGTCATTAGGACCCCTGAGACACAAGCCACTTTCTCCTTCCGCAGGGCATTCGAGCACTCTTGACCCCTCAACTAACCCTTTCCACGTGTCAGGGGATGTGGATTTCTTCTTGCTCAGAGAGCAGGAGCGGAATAAAGCTATTGCTGTAAGTATCCTGACCTGGGGCCGCCCTCCTCTCTGAGAAGCATCCTTGCCCTCTGTTCCTCTGTCTCAGGTAAACAGCAGCCACATGTCCTTCCTCAACTCACTCTCACTCCAGAACAATCACTGACTCACTTTTTCCTACAACATCAAGTGGTAACCTTGCCTGGCTCATGTCTTGGAACTGTTGCATTGTCTTACAAATCTCATCACTGTTGTCTCTGGGCCTTAGTTAGGTGGCCTCCTTAGCTGCTGCGGCCACCTCTCCATCTCTTACACTGTCCCCTGCATGAAATGCCATTCCTCCACAATATTCCCCTTGTCCTTCAAGGCTTGTCACAAACTTCACAGGCCCTCTCCCCTACTTCAGGGATCCCCAACTGCTCCATTCTCATACAGGGCCCTCTGCTTAGAATCTCAGATGGTAGTTACACATTTCCCCCTAAGCATATTCCCTCCACAGTGCCTGGGAGTGCTGGGCATGTGGAGCCTCCACACCAGCATACTTTCTCTTGCTTTTTGCCCTGACAGCAATGTGCCCAGGAGTCAGGGCAGCCCGGATCCCACAGCCCCCCAGCACAGCAGCACAGATAATGCAGTTCACACCACATGCCACACTCCACCTGTCTCCTGGGCTGGCCTGGCAACCTGTGTCCCCTGACAGACTCTGCATCTCCTGTTCTCAGAGCAGTAGGACCCCATGTCAACATCAGTAGGGCACTGGGGGAAAGACGTGCCCCTCATCCTCTGCATTAGGACCTGGAATAAGGTGACCATGCCTCCCCCTAAAATGAGAGGCTCAGGCCTCTAAGAGGTGATACTCAGTGCACTTTCCCAGCCATGGAAAGGGGCCAGCAGGCAGAAGCATACTCTTCTTGGATGCAGAATTGGGTATCTCTTCTTTTCCCAAACCTAGCAGTACCCTGTTGCATGCTTCCCTTTCACCCCTCAGGAATCTGCACCTCTAACCCAGCAGATACCCAATTTACACCCTCCCCACCCAGAACGTTTCTAACCTATACCCCACCCAGAGGAGTCACACACCCTATAACATTCTACACCCCGTGGCTCTATCTCACCTAGTGGGTCCCCCAACTTTGCAGCCAGCAGGCCCCCAGCTGCACCCTACCCCAGGTAGCTGCCCATTCTCCTCTGTCTGATCTATTGCCACTGGGATTCTAGGGGTGCTGTTTTCCTGTGGCACAGAGGGGCCAATTGGGGGCTTCAGGCTGGTTCCTGCATTTGCTGAGATTCTTTGGGGGCTCTCAGATATTGGACTGTGGGAGCTGGCAGGTCCCAGCAGGAGACAGACTGACCCCAAGAGTCTGAAAGAGGGACTCAGTGCAGGGCCCACAAGAGTGAAGGTGGCCCAGTCATTGTCAAGGCCTGGGCTGCCAGAGGACAGAGCTCAGGCTTGAGAGATGGTCTGGACAGAGAGCTCCTCCCCCTCCCCTGCCATCCTGGGATAGGCCATGATGACAACCTGGGGGTTGGGGGCAGTGGGACAGGTGGCCACCAATGAGTTTCCAGCCAACTGACAGGACAACCTGCAGAGGGAACTGTACTGTAAGCCTTTTGGAAACAGGCAATGAATCAACTGGCCAACCCTCAGTTAAAGGGGAGTTTTGGGTGAAGGGACAGACAAATCATCTTTTAACCACAGGAGTGCTTTGATCTGGCTGAACACACAGCTGGCACCTGTGTTTTATCTGACAGCCTCTGCTGGGTCCCATTCTCAGGTGATCATTGATCTTTCCACTGTGCTCAAACCCAGAGGGTGTGCTCAGGAACCCACAGCCTCCCCAGGGGCACTAGCAGCAAGGAGTGCTCAGGAACAGGGGCACCAGTGTATGCGCACACACATATGTGAGCATTTGCCTGCCCTGTGCATGTACTACTACAGCCCCTGAAACTGGACAAGGGGCATGTGGGAGGAACCCAGGACCAGCTGACTGGCTGCCACCCCCCATAGGAACGCGAACAGAAGAAGATGCTACGGGTCCATCAGAAGATGACATACTCATCCAAGGTTTCAGCCAAGCAGACTAGCTTGCGCCGAGAGCTGCAGCTGGAAGAGGAGACAGAGGATCAGGAGCTGATCGCTGAGACCTGGCAGCTGCACACCTTCCGAAACAACACTGCCTGGAAGCTGGACATGACCCGAGGTGCAGCAGTCTCACCTTATGTGGGAGGGGACCTGGGATAGTCACACCTCCAGTCTGCTTCCCATGGGGCTGGGAAAGGTCCTCTTTGCGTCTGTCACCCAGCATCTTGTAGAGCTTCATTCTGATGGGCTTGCAGCTCCAAGGGCATGCCAATCATGTGGTGTGCACATGGTGAATGGGTCTGAGGGCTGCACAGGGGTAGAAGTCAGCTCAGTGTGTAGAGAGGCCTGGGTTCCATCATCTACCCAGCAGTCAGCAGTCAGCAGTCAATGGACAAGTTCAGCTTGTGAGGAGGCCACATGGAACTTGCCTTCTATAGAGGTCCTGGTCACAGTACAGCACTTAATAGATTCACAGTCATGGGCAGCACTAGACCCCTATATATCTCTGTGTCAACATCATGGATTGTGGGGACTAATAGTGTTAACACACTGAATGATGTATGTATCTGTGAGCTCTTATTTTATTACCCAGCAGGAAGTCCCAAGTACTAAGCATGCATTCATATCCTACCGACCAGATGAGTGAAAAGCTAGGAAACAGTTGGGACCAGAGAGCCCTGTGCAGAGGGGACCATGGGAGTACTGTGACTATGAAACAGACAATCCCCAGTCTCCACCTCGACAATGGCCCTAAACTTGATGGTTTTCATGTGAGAGTCTGTCACCCATTTCTCAGCCTGAAAGAGGCAGGTGGTGGCCGGCAGGGGAGGATGGACCCAGCTGTGGGCCTAAACTGCTGTGGGGACCTGGTGTCCTTGAGGGGCAGGGGCTTCTCCAGGCTCATCCAGGAAAGCCATGCCCAGAGCCTGTAGACTGTAGAACAGAGCTCCTCACTCAAACATCCTCTGCCAGAAAGAGGATCCCAGGGGCGTGGCAGAAACCTTTCTCGATGGATTTCCTGAGTACTAAGCTCCAGCCTGGCCTGGCCTCTTGTTCCCACTCACCTCCCAGTTCTTGTTGCAGAAAAGAACATGGAACCAGAAACATTAAACGGCTACATGGAGCAAAAGCGGAGCATGTTTCTTCTCCAGGTGGGTTAGGCTGTGCCCAGGTAAGGGCCTCTAAATGGATCTGGCTATGCAGAGCAAAGGCCTCCTGCTGGACTCCTGCCCAGGCTACGTGCTCTGACGCCCACTTTTCCTGCCCACAGTACGCCCTAGAGATGAAGCGCAGTGAGATCCAGCGGCTGGAAATGCTGGCAATCCGTGAAGAGGCCAGGCTGCAGCGGGCTGAGAAGTTCCTAGAGAAAGACGCGTCCTTGTTTGATGAATTCCTCAGGGAGAATGATCGAAGCTCTGTGCAGGCCATGAGACTGTGAGACCACAGGCCCTAGGTGTCCTTAGGCCTGTGCAGACAGACCCACACCCTGGGCCAGGCCCAATCCAGCCTCAGCTGGATTTAGGACCCAAAGCTCTAGCCAAGCCCTAACCTTGACCCATAGCCCTGAACCCTAGATAGCTCCCAGCTCCCCACTGGACCAGTGCCAAAGGTCAAGATCAAGGCTTCTTCCATCTCTGGCTGTTCTTTAACGATCCATGATTGGCCATCTTGTCTCCTCTCCCCCAGGGCTGAGAAGGAGACAAAGGCCAAGATGGAGAAGATTGTGGAGATCAGGCACCTTACAGCCCAGATCATGAACATCAAAAGGTAAGCACTAAGCTTAGGCACTTTTTCATCATCTCACTGGAGCCAAGGGCCTCTTAGCACCATGAAGACCTATCAGACTCTCAAACCCTGTGGGAGGCTGTGGCCTATTTCATGGGGGGCGATGTGGCTCAGGGACTCTCCTGAGGACACACCAGCAGGATGCAGGACCAGTGTGGCTCAGGCTTAAAGCAGCAGATAGAGCCCCCAGGAAAGAGGACCGACGCAGGTCTCAAGGGCCATAACATAATGCTGGGAGTTCTGGCTGCTCTGGCCCTGTAGGGCATGCACACTTCCCAGTCCCTCCCGGCAGGGGCTTGGTGGTGGCTGCAGCCTGACTTTCCACGTCCCTCCCTGGGCCTAGTGAAATCTCCAAAATCGAAGACACTTTACAGCATTACAAGATTTACAAGGACTTCCTGTACAAGCTGTCACCCAAGGAGTGGTTGGAAGAGCAGGAGAAGAAAAGCTTAGCTCTCAGAAAGGTCAAGGAGTCTGTGGAGACTGCCAAGGACAGCAGCACACCCACCTTACTAGGGGACAGAGGTAGGGGAAAAAAGAACGGGTTCCCAAGGGTGTGCTCTGCTAATGGTGCAGAGTCTGCACCTAACTGGAAGGCGCCCTGCAAGCATGGGGCCCCGGATGGCCTGCCCTATCTTTCCTGGCTGGCTTTACACAGAGCAGTGCTCTCCTCAAACCCTCAGAAGCTCAGCCTAAGCCGTCCCACAGTCAAACCAAGGGCTTTCCTCCCAAGCAGTCCCTTCCCTCTTTTTCCCAGGCTAGGAGCCTGAATTGCCTCCTAAAGCAGTGGTCATCTAGGGTTCTTCTTTTGCTTCCTGTAGGATCTGGCACCAAGAGCAAGACAGCCTTGCTATGGAAAGGTACAGGCTGCCCCAGCCTGGAGGGGGCCCCATACCCCATGCCAGGGTACATGGAAATCTCCTACTTCTCCCAGAGGTTCAGAATTTGAAGAAACCCTCGAAGCTTATGCAGGGGCGGCTGGGGCAGGTCCTGTCCAGCACTCTCAGCCTTCCACAGGTCGGTTACCAAAGTCAGCCCAGCCTGCACAGTGAGATGGACACCAGACTGTGAGTGGCACCCAGAGGCTTGGGGAAACAGAGGCTACTTCTACTCAAGGAGTCAGCCAGGCCAGCAGGGTCACAGAAGTCAGCAGGGTATTTACTGTGCTTCAGGGAAGGATGAGGAAGGGGAAGCCAGTTGAGGCTGATCTGTAGGGCTGCCCTTGTCTGGGCCTGGAGGTGATTATAGTGGGCAGTAGTCCCATGTGACAGTTCAATAAAGAAGTGGGTGGAGCTGGAGAGATTCCTCATTGGAAGGTGTGCACGGAGGAGCCTCTTTTCCTGTCTTTAGGAGTTGGTTAACCTGGACAGGGTTAGCCCCAGATGTAGAGCCCCAGAATACAGAGAAACAAACCAACCCTAAGATGGCCTGGACCACCTCCTCAGTTGTGCCACCCTACCCGTTCCTGACTCCACTCTCACCCTCAGTCACCCAAGTCCCTGCCTATGCTTGGCAGTCTGGAGGGACTCCTCCTCTCTTTGCTTCTAAGCTCTTTCTTTTTGCACTTGGTGATCTTGCTGTGGAAATAGGCCGGGCAGCCACTGTCAGTGACTTGGATGTATGTTGACTGGCCTGTGATGCTGGCTGGGGACCTGGTGCTCCCTCCATGGTGCTTAGGAGCAGAGGCTCTGAGAGGTCAGAGTTCAATGCCAGCTCTCTGACAAGGTCAGCCCAAGCCTGTAGCTCTATGTTGGGAGCTCTATGTTGGGAGAAGTAGGCTCTGATCCTACTGGCCTGGCTTTGAATCCTTGTTCCTCTACCTCTTAGCTAGGAAAGGGCTTCTTGAACTTTTTTCACTTTTGATCCTTTCACTTGAAAAAACTTTATATCACCCAGGGCATATAGGCATACAAATCTAATGTCTACTGATCATAAATCATAAGGAAAGTGATTTTAAAGCAATTCTCTGGCACATATAATTTTTATCATGTATTAAGGACAAAAGCAAATTGGCATGAGATGGATATATTTACTTATTTTTGCATATGGAATTAAATTTTGGTCGACTATTTGATACTGCAGGACACAGTGCATTCTCTGTTTTTCAGACTTCACTGATATTTTGATTTTAGAAACGTCAATACTGAGACCACCACTTTGTATAAATACGTAGTATAAAATGGGAGAAATACATTTAGGGTCAATCCGAAGGTATACTAATTTGATGCATGCTGAAGAATGGTTATAAAAAAATTGTCTTTGTTTTCTGTAACTAAACCACTGTTTCTCTAAGAGCAGAAACTTTGCATGCACAGTAGAGGCACTGTAGCATGTAATGTACAGTAGTCAGATCTGAGCCAAGGTGTTCCAGGCAGCGTTTGTTGGTGGTGTGTGACATGGCAGCATTCACAGTGCGGGGCGCACTTGTTTGTTCAGAACCAAGGCTACAGTGATAGATGATGCAACATGGGTGGGTGCTGAAAGAAAGACCCTGGATTCTTACACATTTGATTTAGAATCAATTTTTGGTCCTTGCTTGTTCAGAAGCCTTTCTCCTGTGGCCAGTTTTTTCACTATTTCTTCTTTTAGTCTCCCAGCTCCACATGTGGTTGTACCCACAATTTAAGAAGCTGGAGCCAGGTGACCAGAACCACTGAATACAGTTGGGCAGGCTGTATGCTTCTGAGGTCACAAGTGAGAGGGCTGTATCCCTTTGGAGGGTGGATTCTCAGGAAGGCATCAGGGGCCAGTAGTGCCCTGCAGTACCTTGAGCAGATGACTGAGCTGAGTTACCTTCAGATTCTTCCCCTTTAACACTTGTGCATCTCCATTTCTGGTTCTTGGGAAGCTGCCTGCCAGTCAGCACAGCTGCACCCTCTGGGTAGAGCCCAGCTGAAGCAGGCCGGGGGCCACTGGGGCAGTGCCTAGACCCAATCTTGACGGCTTGAGGGGCACTTAGGAAATGACTGGTAGGGAGGAAGGACATCTGGGCAGTGTTCTAAGGTGTGAAGGTCCTTGAGGTCAGGTCTGCACCTAGAGAGAGGAATGGCTGACAAGCCAAGAGCAGAGCCACTTAGGGGACTGGGGGAGGATGGATTTCCATAACTGGAGAGTTGCTAGTTCAATTTTGAGTGGCCCCTGGCTGCTGGGTGACAGCTGTAGATCCTTGATAGGGGCCTGGGGCCATCTAGACAACGTGGGAGAAGGGAGATGGGGAGCATGCTCCACCCATGTCTTCTGTCCTTAGTGCACACTACCACATCTGGTGCCTAAGGAGCCCTGACCCTGCTGTCTGTCCTCAGGTCCAACTCTCCAGTACTGCCACAAGACAACACTGACAGCGATGGGGAGGTCTGTGGCTGGGCTCTCCTCTACCTTGCCCCCGTCCACCAAGCACCACACCCTGCCTTGCCCTGCATAGCACCCCTCTGCTACTCCCTGTAGGAGCAGGCGCTATACTTCACAGAGCCCCAACAGCTCCTGGACGAATTCATGAAACTGGAAGAACAGAATCTGTCGCTGATCCAGAACACGCAGGAGATGGAGGAGACCTTGGATGATCTGAACACCACTCTGAAAAACACCCAGATCCGAATGTAGGTTCCCCTGCTGCCTGCCCTCCTGCCACATTCTTCCCCCACAGCACTACTAGCTGTCCTCTTCCTCACATAGGCCCTGGGTGAGTAGCAGGACCCCAGAGCCACCTGCAGCCAGAAGGCAAGCATCCCAGGACCTCCCACTGGAGCCCTTCTATCACTGGCCAGGCCCTGGGAGGCCAGCCCTGCCCTGTGAAGGGCCTGTGGCACTTCAGGGTCCTGAGGCAGGCTTGGCTTGGCTGGAAGCCGGTCTTCAAGTCACTTCAGTCATGAGGTAGTGCCAGAGGTCCTCACACCTCTGGCAGGGGTTTCTCTATCCGCCAGGCCTGTGGGGCAGGAAAGACCTGCCTTGTTGGGGGATCTGCAACATTAGAGTGGGCACAGGACAAGGGTGGCACAGCTGAGTGTGAGGAGACAGGGAAGCAGAGTTGTCTGACATGCTGGGGTAGGCTGGCATGTCATGCCTATGCTGGGATGGATGGGGCCATGCTGGGATGGGCATGGCTACACTTAGGTGGGGCCAGGATGGGTTGGGTGGGGCTATACTAGAATGGGCATGGCTATGTTGGAGTGGGTGTGACCAGGCGGGGATGGGCATTGCCATACTGAGACAGGTGTGGCCAGGGTAGGATGTGTGGAGCCTAGGAGGGCAGATCTGTTCAAGTCTGGGAGCCAGGGCTCTTGAAAGACCCTGGGGGAAATCCCAGGCTCCTGGCAGAGTCAACAAGGTGGTAGGGGAGGCAGGTGCTGGTCCCACTGGAGACAGACACCCATAACCCCTGTTGCTGGGTGTGGCCACCAGGCATCCCATCCCAGTCCCCTCTGTTGGAACCCCTCCCAAGAGCCCAAGGGAGCTGTGTAGTGCCTGCTGGGCTGGGGTGCCAGGGGAAGCGATCAGGGTTCAGACACAAAGCATCTTTTCTGAGTGGGCTCAAGGCCTGCAAGAGTCAGGCTAGGCCTGCCTGCATAGAGCTTACACTGGATGGCAGTAGATTCGGCAAAGAGATCCACAATTTGACTGGTAGAAAGTGATACATGCTACGAAGACATGGTAGTGCCATGAAGGGGCCGAAGTGGCAGGTGACAGATGAGGGGCAGGGAAAGCTGCCAGAAGAAAGCAACAGGAGGTCCAGGGCACCTGAGAGATGCGAAGAAGCCAGCCACCCAGAGCCCTGGGAAAGACGGCTCAGGCAGCAGGAGCAGCCAGGGTACAGGCCCTGAGGTGGGATCCAGGCTCCTCACAACTCATCTCAATGGTCCAGTGCAGCTGCCTCCAGGATGAAATCAAACCACTAGCTCTCGTGCAAACTTTCCTGGAATCCTGGCAAGTACCAGGGACACAGACAGATGCTCTGGGGAGAGGATAAGAGCCTCCCAGAGTTGGAGACCAGTCTAGAAGACAAGCCCCTCCCCCCAAAGAGCCATCCACTCTCCCAGCAGGATGCTGGAGGTGACAGGCTAGAGCCATCTCCAGAAGCACCCATGTGTGGTTCCTGAGTCACAGCTCATGCACTCAACCACCCTGCAGATCCCCAAGACAGGTCTTCCCTTCCCTACAGCCCTGGAGGAGCTGTTTTTGAGAAATAGAAAACAGATAACTGAATAGGCCCCAATGAAAGAAATTGAACAAATAACAACATTGTGAAACCAGCCTTAGGTCCTGAAGGGGGCTGGGGAGATGGCTCAGTCAGTAAAGTGCTTGCCTTACAAGGAGGAAGACCTGAGTTTGATCCTTAGAACCCTTGTGAAAAAACAAAACAAAAACTGGGCACGGGGTTGAACATTTGTAATCTCAGCACTGGGGAGGCAGGGACAGGAAGATCCCTGGGGCTTACTGGCCAGAAAACCTAGCCTACTTGGCAAGCTCCAGGCAGGGAGTGATCCTATCCTCTGAGGTTGACCTCTGGCTTCCACATGCATGTGCACATATGTGCACCCCTCCTTCACACATTTAAGGCAGAAATAATGAAATTTCTTGGCCATCTCCAGAAGACTGAAGAGGCAGCATTTTTTGTCTCACAGAAAGGCTGGCATGATCTTAATGCCAAGCCAGGGATGGATGGCTCAGGAAAGAGTCCAGAATAGGGTGGCTCATCGATGTAGACACAACCCCCACCTCCCAACAACAACAAAAGCAAGCTGAATCCCAGCAATGTGCAAAAATCTACCATGGCAAACGGAGGGATGCACAAGGCCAGCTCAAGGTGCAAAACTTAGTTAAGGTAGCCATTGAATGGAAAAGCAAAGGGAAATACATGGTCATGTCAATAGGGAACAAGCTATTTCACAAAGCTGAACATCTACTCACGATAAAATGTCTTGGCACATTAGAAGGGAATTTCAACTTGGAAAAAATCACAAAGAACCATCCATCTCAAGCTTTTCCACAGACACAAGGAGCAAAGGGTGGATGTCTCTTCTTTCTGCACCATGCTGTCCCAACCCTGGTGGGCAGAACTTTGCCCACTCCTGGGCTTGTGGCTTTCAGACAGGGATCTACCTACTGGGTCAGGCTGAGTAGGGACCCAGGCATTGAATGAGCTGTCTGCCCCTTCAGGGACCGGGAGATCAACCAGATGAATCAGTGGATTACCACAATGTTGTTGTCCATCGAGAAGGAGGAAGAGTTGTCGGCTGAGTTGCAGCTCAAAGCCCGTGTCTTCCACTTTGGGGAGTATAAGGGTGATCAGCAGGTAGGGAGAGGGGTATCTTAGGGCTGGGCCTGAGGCCTGCCCACCTCCCAGTTTCTGTCTGGGCCCCTGATGTGGTACCTGCCCCTGGGTCTGCTCACTCACTCATGCCCCTCAAGCTGCCTGTATGCCTCCCATGTGCCTTTGTTTTTGCTCCACAAATTTGTCTGCTGCTGAAGACACACACACACACACACACACACACACACACACACACACAAGTCTTACGTGGTGACTCCAGGGAAAGGATATCTTCAGGCTAGGCTGGGAGGGTGAGAGACTGCTGAGGATAGACTCCAAGGAGCAGAGAACAGGGACCAACATCCTACCCAGAAACATCCTAATGTATTCACTCATGTCCTGATTTTTTTTTCTAGTACTGCCCAGTGTCTTGTATGTTAAGACATGGGGCCAGGGAGCAATGGTTGAACTGGCTCCTGCCTGGCCGGGAATCACTGGGCATAGGCACAGCTAAGCCTTCTGGCCTGCTGTTGCTCATTAATCCCCAACCCAGTGTCCAAATTGCAGGTGCTGTTACCTTCTTTCTAAATGTCAGAACAGGCTCAGAGAGGAGGGAGTTCTTCTACCCAGGGCCACAAAAGGATGTGGTCCCACAGAGAGCTGGGGCCAGTGCATAGCACCCTGGAACAGGAAACTGACCTCAATGGGCTTGTTAAGGCAGCTGGGGGTTGGGTTAGGATATGAGATAAGTCAGGAGCCTGACCATAGAGGCACAAGGGCTATTTTAGCTAAGAAAAGCAGGTACCATTGCTCCAATGCATTTTCTGAGCCCACATTGTGGGCTTTATCCTGGTTGGCAAATCATGGCTGATGGTATGGGCAGGCTGTGATATGAGGGTAAGCAGAGGCTGGCAGCCATACTGCTGACCACCTTTCAGGACAAGCTACTGGAAAGCCTGAACCATAAGGTGCTGGATGTGTACCGAAACTGTGTGGGTAAGCAGCAGGAGGCCAACCTGGGTACAGTGCAGATGCTGACTGTGGTGGAACACCTGCTGGATGAGCTGCTGGAGAACCTGGAGCATGTGCCCCCGGCCAGAATTGAGCAGGCCGAGAAGGCCAAGGAGCGGGAACGGCGCATAAGGTGAGCAGCCAGGCCCACCCTCCTGTGCTTGCAGCCCTGGCTCCAGTCCGGGGTGCTCTGGTCAGTGGCTATCTTCAGTTGTGAGGTAGAGGCCAGGGTCTGTGGGTACCAGAGGGCAGGAGCCATGGCCTTTTGGCCAGGTCATCCACTTGCATGTGGGACCCTGGGACACAGCCATCTACCCAAGTCTGTCTGTTTCTCCCCAGCATGGGGCTTCTCCTCTGGATCCCCAGCACCTGCTCTGAGACTAATGCCCTAGCTGGGTGCCAGGCTGTCATGGGTGACCACAGAACAACACATGGAACAGGGACCCAGATGTGGATCTTAACTTTAGGTCACTCTCAAGACCAGGATCAGGCCCTGCCTTCCTTCTGAGTTTAGGTCAACTTGCTCAGGACTGACAGGAAGAGAGGGGCAATTTTATCCATGCAGGAGGGCATGGCCTAACCTGGGGCCTGAGTGGGATAAGGAGGTGTCCCTCCTAGGCTCCAGACCCTGTCAGCCACCTCTTCCCCTAGGATTCGGGAAGAAAAGGTGAGGGAGCAGAAGCAGCTTCAGGAGGAACGGCTGCAGCGGGCCAGAGCCCGAGCCCAGGCTGAGATCAAAAAGAAGGTAAGAGGTGGTGCCAGACCACTGGGATGGGGCCCACAGACCTTCTAGCCAGAGCTCTGAGGCTAGAAGACATGCAGACATGTCACTGAGCTGAAGGTGGAGGCAGCTGCTTTTAGAGCCAAGCTAGGGTGCAGCATATCTTTGCAGCCAGGCATTTCTAGACCCCTGCCCTCCAGGACCTGTTTTCTCCTGGACGTCCATTCATCCCTGCCAGATGCAGGTTCTCAGCTCAGAGCTGGTACCAACACCTAGTCCTGGGGTCCTGCCACTCTACCCACCCTCCAGAGAGACCCTAGGCCAAGCTCCCTGCCTTTCCCTAGGGCCTAGTTTGCTGGATCCAAGGCCTTACCCCACAGAAATGGGCTGAGGCAGCCTTATACCTTCTGGATGTGACAACAGGAAGCCTGGTTCAGAAAGCAGGCCTAGAGCTAAGCATGGCCCCTGAGAGAAGAGCCAGTGGGTTTTCTGTGAAACATACCACATATACTGTCACTTGGGAGGAATGAACACTGTGTTAAATATAATAACACCAATATAATGATAAAGACCACGGGTGGCTAGTCTGGAAAAGAAGCTGACACATTAATTCCATTAAAAAATTGCTGTTTATTAGGAAAAAGGGCCTCAGGCCATGATTGAGCCTCAGGTGGGAGGAAGAGCAATGGACAGAAACAATGTATGGAGAGAGAAACATGATGGAGCCTTAGAGGGAAGGGGAACTTTCCTTTAAAACCCAAGCAGCTTCATTAAGAGGGGGGAGGAGGAGGAAGTGAGGGAGGAAAGGAAGAGGAGGAGAGGGAGGAGGGAGAGAGTGAGGGAGGGAGGGAGAAGAGGGAAAGAGGGAGGGAGAGGGAGGAGAGAGGGAGAGAGGGAAGGAAGGAGGGAGGGAGAGGGAGAGGGAAGGAGGGAGAGAGAGGAGAGGGAGAGAGGAAGGGAGGGGGGAGAGGGGAGAGGGGGGGGGGGGAGGGAGAAGAGGGAAAGAGGTAGGGAGAGGGAGGAGAGAGGGAAGGAGGGAGAGAGAGGAGAGGGAGAGAGGAAGGGAGGGGGGAGAGGAGAGTGGGAGGAGAGGGGAAGAGGGAAAGGAGAGGAAGAGACGGGGAGAGGGAGAGGAGGGGGGAGGGGAGAGAGGGAAGAGGGGGGAGAGGGAGGGGGAGAGGGAAGGGAGGGAGAGAGAGAAGGAACTACCATGAGGGGATGGGGCGGGGGGCAGAGGCCAGCTTTCAGAGCATCTCTCAGGCAAATCTCAAGAACAAAGGAAATATCAGACAAGCTTTCAGGGGCTGTTAGCAAGTTTCACATCAATAAGGGGGAACCAGGTTCTGGTTAGGGTCATAAACCAAAGGCTGGTGTTAGGCCACAGCTTGTAGGAAGGTGTGACCTGATAGCTTCAGGCTGTTAGATCCGGCCTTTTAAGTGACCACTCTCTTTTAGAGCCAGACCTGAGCTCTAACACACTGCAGGGGCTCCTGCAGAAGTCCTGAGCTATGAAATGCTTTAGCTCAACCCTCAAAAGGTGTGCTCTCTATAAAGGAGGCAAGGTGACTGTAGAAATAGCCCACACTTCAGATGCCTTTAGTCAGTCCTATGCCCAGGTGGTTGGTCTCCAAGACCAGAGCTTACTGGCCTCTTCCTGAGTCTGAGAGCAGGGCACATGGGCACCATGGCATCTCTGCATGCAGTGCTGGTTCACCAAGCTCATTTCTTCTGCAGAGAGGCAGAAGGCTGGTGTGTCGCTCCCAACCCCCCATCATCAGAGTGAAGGATGAGTCTGACCACACGCTGATGGACAAGGACAGGGAAGAGATGCTGTTCTTCTTCACTTAGTGCCAGAGCTGGCTCAAGGCTCAGGAAGAAAGAGGTTGGCAGTCAGTACAGGCAGGGGCTGTGGGCCTGGGGGGACCTAAACTCTACCCGTGTGCTCTCCCTGTCAGCTTCCTTACAGGAAATAAACTCATGTCTCTCAAGAGTCTGGATGGCCTGTTTAAGGAGCAGCCTGTTACCCACTCTTAGCAGCCCTCTTTCTTCATTTAACCCAAAGCATGTACCAGAGGGAAGGAGTACCATCCTGGTTCTCATCTGAAACAGTGGCTTGGAGAGAAGCTTAGACCTGTCTCTCAGAGATGGAGGGTGGGGCTGGCCCCAGGAGACAAGAGCCAGTGACAAGTTGGGCAGATGAGTTATGACTGCTACTGGAAGGGGGAAGAATCTTAACAGTGTACATAGTCCTTGAATGAAGCCAGGGCAAAAACTGGTGCATGTCATACACTTTTATTCATTTGTACTAGGAGTTGGGCCCAAGGCAGCAAGGAGCCTCAGTGCCCAGAACACCACAGCCAGTCAGTCCCATTACTTGGCAGACACTGACTGGGGACCATGGGAGAAGGCAGGGATTCCCTGTTGAGATGGGCTCCCAGGACAGGTAACAGTAGTGCCAGACTGCCTATTGAGTGGGGAGGGCCCTGATGACAGGTGGGCAAGCTCAGCCTCTAAGCTTTGGCCTGTGATACTGGAGAGGCCTGTGGAAAGAAGCCGTCTCAAATGGGGCTTATAATCCCCTCACTGAGAATAGCACACAGGCAGATGGCACCTCAGAGCAGGCCAGAAAGGACTCAGGCTCAGACTCAGGGTCTGCCCCAAACCTAAGAAATAGAGCAACCCAGGTAGGGCAGAACCACAACAGCATCTGAACAAGCACACACTTCAGAAGGCCCAAGGAAAAAAATAGAGCATTTCTCAGTGACCCTGTGTCCAGTCCTAACTAACAAATAAATATGTGCAACCATCTCCTGGAAGACAGACTCACTCTGTAAAAACATACATGGATATATTATATGCACACCTTCAACCTTAACCATAAAACACATATATCGTCACAGCCCTACACATAATTTATAGTATTCAGAATACCACTGTAGAAACTGCTGTCAAATTACTATTTACCATTAATACCCAAATATAGGATTTAGAAAAATTACTTTAAAAGTTTTAACTCTCCCATCCCAAACTCTGAGCTACAGTCTAGGAAGAGGGCTTGCTAACAGGCCACCCCAATCATCTTTCACCATCCAAGGAACTGAGAAGTAGTGTCTTATAAGCTCTCAGAAAAGAAAGATTTCTAGATTGCTCAGGCAAAATGCTAAAACGCTTCAACTTGATGCCCTATCGTACCTGAGCGGGAAGCCTGTGCTCACCCACTTCCTGCAGAGGTCCTTTTAATGTAACAAGTGCTACCCGGCTCAGGCCCAGGGGGACCTAGGGAAGGGCTGTAATGCACACCACGTGTGGTATGGACACAGTATGCATCTCACTCACAGCAACCCTTAATGGCAGTTTTAAAAAACACAGCCCAAACCTGCTCCTGCTAGAACAGAAGGAAAACGTTTTCAGTAAATGTACCCTGAAGTCTCTAAGAACCAGACTGGACTGTTGAGCAGAAGCCAAGTGAGTTCTCCCCACCTGCACCAGTCATTTGAGGCCTTGGGCAGCACAGCCTGGAATGCATTCCTTGTTTGCTCAGGCAGCAGCTGCTGTCACTGAAGGTCTTGCAGGTTGATAGTGCTTCCGGGCACCTGTACAGCTTCGGACCCAACAGAACTTGCAGGCGCTGGAAGCACCTCCTGCAAAACCAAGCAGAGAGGTGAGGAGGGGCCGATAAGGGAGCAGGGAGGGGGAGCACAGAAGGCAGGGTAGAGGCCATCCAGTTCTGCACCTCAGCACCCACCTCCTCACGGTGGGCAGCTGGACCCCATGGAGCAAACAGTTTTAACATACTTGAATTTTCTTAACTAAAAACATGTTCTTCCTTTATTTGAAACTTATGAAAAATGTTAAATATTTTTTGTTTGTTTTTTGAGACAGGGTCTCACCATGTAGCCATGGCTGGTCTGGAACTTGCTATGTAGATCAGGTTGGCCCCCAGAGATCTGCCTGCCTCTGCTTCCCAAGTGCTAGGATTAAAGGTATGTACCACCACTACTGGTGGAAAAAACATTAAATCATAAAACAAAAGAAAAAAGAACTAAAAACGGTTGTATTTCCAGATTGTTTTTCTAGCCCCAATAATAGACCCACATATATTCAAATACCTGTGTACTTTTTCTGCAAAAATGAGATTTGTTTAATGTTAGTAACCCTTCTTGAACCTGGTATGTAGAGGGCAGCCTGCCCAGGGAGCTGATGATGGCTGGGCGATGTGGCACGACCTAGCCCTCTCCTGCTGAACTCCAGTGCTCCCACTTTGGCATCACAGACTCCCAGCTGCAGTGGGTATGTCTCAGTTTGCCAGTAGTTAGCATCTCACATATCTTTCCTCCCTCCCTTTTTTCTCTCCTTCCCCTTCTCTTTCTTTGGGTTTTGGAGACAGGGTCTTGCCTTGCAGCCCAGGCTGGCCTCAAGCTTGCAATCCTCCTGCTCTGGACTCCCAAGTGCTGGGATTACAGGCATGTGCTGTCAAGTCTGGCTTGGGCTTACTGTCTTGATGTTTAGGTTGTAAGCCCAGCCTTATGGCTAAGCCATCTCTCTTGCCCTAACAGCCTCTTTTCTTTAAGAATGGTCTTCTGAGTGGCTTAGGACAGAGTAGACCTGACATTTCTGAGGCAGGCTGGCAGTCTGATAAGTGATATTCATCATCTCAGACTCAGGTCTGCATATAAGTGATCACCAACTCTCAGCATAACCACTTACTTACAGAGTCACTGATCTGGGAGTAGCTCACCACCCATAGAGACAATATAGAACTTGCAGGTTGCAATTACCATCAGCAGAGCTGCAATCCTGACTACCTTTCTGAAGGTACAAGGGAGCCTGGCTACCAACCCAATGGGCCTCTGGGGAAGGCCTGCAGCGGTAGCTAACCCATGTCACAGCAAGCCTCCTGTCCTAGGGAACCAGGGAAGAGTCTTACTGAGAAGAGCAAAAGTTGTAGGCATCCAGACCTGGAGGACGTAGACAGGCAAATCCACGGTGAAGTAGGGGTGGAAGGCAGAGGGCTGTGGGCTGAGGGCCAGTGGCAAGCTTCCTTCACCTGAGGGGTCATCCTGGGGAGGCAACCACCAAAAAGACCTTTCACACTCTGGTAATCAGGGTTCAGGGGCTACTGGCCCCTCCATTTCTTACTCTGAGCCTAGCCCAAGGCCCAGAAGATTCAGCTTGGGCCTGGAACCCCATGCTGCCTGGCTCTTCCCCTTCCTCACTATTTCCACAGTCACAAACCTCCTCAGCCCTAATAGCGCCTTCCCTCCTGAACTCCTTGTGGATGCTCCAGGACCTTCTGCATGCCCTGGCCCATTCACCAGCCAATCAGAAGTCTGAGAGCAGAGGGCTCCCTGAGATGAGCAGGCTGCCAGGCCCCCATGATCCAGTCAGGAAAGGAACTGGCTGTGCCTGCTTTTCATGTGCAGGTTCGGCCACGGCTGCCCATACCCCAACACTGAGAGCCTTGTACCACTGAACCCAACTTCCACTGCTTCGAGGACTTTTCTGAGTGTCACCATTTCCATCTCATGACAACAAAACTGAGGCTGGGTGGTAAAGCAACTTGTCTAAGACAATACTAGCTGTCAGAGGACAGGTTAAAGATTCAAACCCAGGTCTCCTTGAACTTAAAGCTGTTATCTCTGCCTGGGTGTCTTTCTCTGAAGAAACAAGCTCTGTGCATACTTTCCTGTAGGCTCCTTTCCTGTGGAGGAACTTCCCTGCAATCTTCCCATGCCTCTAGGCCCTGCAGGTGTCTTCTGCAGGCTGTCCTGTACGCTGTGGCTGTGCTCTTGTGGGACAGGCCTCTAGTTCCCTTCACTGCCCCTACTCTATGGAGCTTTCTATGTCTTGGAAAGTTCCACACTGTTCTACCCCTGGACCAAATCTGGAGGAGGAACATGCTTTCCTGCTTATTTCTATACACAAGCCTGAATCTCAGTTCACTAAGATCTCACTTGGTTCTGTTTCCCTCAAGGACCCCTTCACTGCCTGCCTCCCAGGTCACCCTTTGCCACCTGCCAGCCACCTATCTGAGCTCCACAGGCACTGCACAGCCACCTTGGCCCCACTTCTTTCCCTCACAGGCTTCCCTCGGATGGATCTTGCCTGTTTCTAAGTTCTCTGAAGCAACAGGAATCAGGGTGAGCATTACCCCCAGATGGTCTCTAACACCTGGGAATGCACTGGCCTGCTGAAGAGTCATCTACAGACCCAAGTGACACGCAAGAAGGAGGTGTGACTGGGCCAGACGCCAGCCAGATCCCTCAGTTTCCAACCCCTTGTTCCCATTCCAGCTCCTCAGGGGTGAGCCTGGGAGTGCAGGTGTGTCTATGTGTGTGGATAGGTGGAGGAGGCACTGCTGAGCAATTGCACAGCAGGCTCCCATGGACTGGTTGCCAGCTACAGGTTTGCTGAGCTCCAAAGGTGGGTGTACCTGTTCTTCAGTGGCTCAGAAAAGTGGGAAAGGAAGCAGGAAAAACAAAGAGGCTCCATCACCTTCACACAGAAAGGCTGTACCAACTGGGGAGCAGCACCAGAGGTGGCCAGAGGGCCAAAGGAGAACCTACAGAACAGGGCTGGGGAGGGGTAGGATAGTGTGAGGAGCCAGCAGCTGTGAGGCCTCCAATGGCCAGGCTGGGCAGAGCCAGGCAGACTCCATTTCTCACAAAAAGGCCCCTTGGCAGGGTAGAGGCATGACCGTGTACACCTCCAAGGGAGGTAGGGAAGATAGACCAGGTTGGGGGGGGACTAGACACAGGGTAACACAGTGTCACAAACCTGATACGTCAGTCCTAACAAAGGCAAGGGCTTGCACAGATGCAGTGAGACAGGCTGGGAAGAAGAGAGAGGCTGGGGTTATTAAGATGCTTGGGACAGGACACAGGACTTGGGTAGTTTACTGAGAGGGTGGTGGCCACCCTCCACCATCCTGCCCCCGCAGACCTCAACATCCACATGGCTGATTCCTACCTGCAGTACAGGGATCTGGATACACTGCACCCCAGTCTCTGGAGCGGGTGCTGGCAGACTTCCACTGGGTACTGAGGGGTTCCCACACAAACAACTCTGCTGGCCTGTATGGCCACTGTGAGGAGGACTGACCGTGTCACCTTTCATTTTCCTATGAGCAGACTCCGAGTCTCCTAAAATGAAACAAAAACAGTTTATCTAACACATGCTCCACTGGCTGGGCTCTGGGCCTGATGGAGGACATGCCGTGGGGTAGCATGTGGTTCTTGTTATGCTATACAGCCTCCCTGACCTGAAAAATCCTGCCACAGGAATTTTCATGAGACAAGGTAAAACAAACTACCTAGATACTAACTGGAAAACTTACAAACCCTACTATATATCTGTTTGCCAGATAGCATCCTGACTCAAGGTGCTCGTTCTTTGAGGACTGAGCCTTGCCTCAACTCCCACAGCTTCTGGCAGGTGGGAGATGCAGGACTTCTCACAATAAAGCAGGTGGAGCCGGAGCTGTAGGGCATGGAAGGAAGCAAGTGGCCAGCAGGAGGCTGAGAGATTCCCAAAATCACTCAGACTTTTCTGTCCAGCTTTCTTGTCAAGTCATCGTTCATGAGTTTTATAAGTATGTCCTTTAAGAAAATAGGAGGAGGTTGGGGAGCTGGCTCAATGGGGTAAAGCCCTTACCAAGTAAACCTGAAGACCAGAATTGGGATCCACAGCACCCATGTAAATACTAGGCAGGCATGGTAGCCCACTTGGCACTCAGGAGGCAGAGAAAGGCTATCCCCAGAGCAAGCTGGCTAGCTCAATCAGTGAGTGCCAGGTTCAAGTGAAAGACTGTCTCAATAAATAAGGTAGAGTGTAATGGAGGAAGACATTCAACATCAAGTTCAGGCCTTCATTCTCTCCTTTCTCTCCCTCACTGCCCCCCCCCCCCGGAATGTACACTCACACATATACATATATACACATGCAAAAAAGTATGATGAAGGAGAAAAACATCGTAACACACAAGAACTCTGTGGGTATTAGAAAGCCTCGGATGCACGTAGAGTGCACATTATCTCTGGAAGAGATCAATGGCTTGGCTCAAATCATGGCCCACCAAGAACTCTGGGACATGACCCTGAACAAGTAACTTAGTTCTGGGTCCTGGTATCTTTACCTGTAATGTGGCAGTAACAGTCCCCATCTGAGAAAGGTCTGTCAGAGCAGTGTACACATGTACTCAAGAGCTTAGAGCAGGGCTAGGCTCACAGCACAGGGTGCTTATGGCCTGCATGCCTGGCCTGCCTAGACGCACACATACCTACAGATGGCTAAGCATAGATAACACTGTAAAAATACCACTCAAGGTATTTTATTTTTTATTTTTTTGTGTTTTTGAAGCAGGGTCTCCCTGTAGCCCCGGCTGTCCTGGAACTCACTATGTAGACCAGGCTGGCCTTGAACTCACAGAGATCCACCTGCCTCTGCCTCCCAAGTGCTGGGACTACAGGCGTGCACCACTACGCCCGGCTCAACCATTCAAGGTATTTTTAACTGAAGAATCTGATTTTGTTGAACTTAATAAAAACAAATGACACATGGTACTGAACTTCTGAAAAACTTTCCTTGAAAATTTCTAGACCTGAAGTTAAGGGGAAGGGGCAAACCACAGACAGCTTTGATTCATTTAGGGCTTTAGTACTCAAACACACAGTCAAATTTAACCCACAGCAGTGGCTCTGTCACCAAGACCATCCCTCTAGTTGCAGCAGTTTTGACTACCTGTCCTCTGTGAGGGCTTCTGTAGACCTGCTGGCTTTACTCCTGAGGATCACCAAGACCTTTAGAGGGCTGTATCCTGAGTGTGCTGTGCTCATGTCTGTGGCCTCCACAGAACATACAAACTGGCTGGTGTGACACCCTGGGGCTGAAGGCACAGGGCCTCCCCCTGTATCTCTTGGCCCACTGCCTGCTTTTTCCCAAGGGGCCTGAGAAACCCTTTTTCTAAGTGTACATACTAACCAGGTTGATGGCCAAAGTGAGGCCCCATCCAGGGAGCACAGACTAAGCTCCTCTCCGTGCAGGGAGATATAGCTCCATTGCACTTTGGAACCTTTCCTTTCTGCTTATCTGCTGGGTTCTCTGTTTAGAGTCTCTGACTGCTCTATGCCCAGTTCTCCTTTCTGTTTTCTTTGATCTCAGCAGAGCAGGGCTGGGGCTGATCTAAGGCAAGACAGGCACCGAGGGCCTGCTGAAGTGAAGAGCTTCCTGTCACTTCCTTTTCTTCTTAAACCTGTACCGTTACCCTACTCAGCATGAGAAGTATAGATGAATGCATTCTTACAATGTTAAGTCTTTTATTACCCTGGCATATTTCCCTGAAATAAAAATACAGACATAAATTGAAATTTTATGTTGATATTTTTTAAAGTTGAAGTCTAGGAGTTAAAACTGAGTTATTACTGCAATTACTGTAACACAAACCAAATCAAACAAGATGCCAGGTGTATTATCACCTGCAGGTGAGCCTCATTATTGATGGTAATTAGTACCGTTATTTTTGAGTTAGGGTTTTGTTTATGACTGGGGCTGGTCTGAAACTGGATATGTAGCCCAGGTTGGTCTCAAACTTGTGATCCTCCTGCCTCAGCTTCCTAAGTACTGGGATTACAGGCATGCACCATCATGCATGGCTCAAAACAAAATATATTAAAAACTATGTTAGTTATATAAAAAGCAAAGTTGCATTGAAAATGCATTTAAAAAGAGGGAGAATAACTTTTTTCTTTCTGTGTTTGTTACTTATGGAAAGAGAGATGGCCCACATATATAACCTTGCTAATTAAAAGATTTTTTAAATAAAATACTTATGAGCATTGAATATAATTTCATCACAACTTTCAGTTGCTGAAGCAATGCATTCAGTATGGAGGAAACATTAGCCAGGAAGGTCAAGCATTAAGGCTAGGCTTCAAGGTCAGAACAGTTCTGGGTTCTTATCTTCTGATTAAAAGCTGACTTCATTTTTTAATTTCAAAAAACACACTGAAACATTTCAAAAAATTTTATAAAAACCTCAGTAGAATAAGGTATCATAAGAGGGCAAGGTATCTTTTTAAATTAATTTCAAAAGTAGACAAGACTTTTTGTTTTGTTTTTCTTTTTGGTATTGTCTCCCTGTAGCCCCAGCTGGCCTGGAACTCACTATGTAGAGCAGGCTGGCCTCAAACTCACACATATTCAACTGCCTCTGCCTCTCAAGTGCTGAGACTACAGGTGTACGCCACCATGCCCGGCTAAAAGCAGACAAGATTTAAAGGCTGTTTATTAGTATGTACTGTTTAACTTTGCAACATGAAAACAAAAGGGGTACAGGTGTAGCTCAGTGGGTGAATGCTTATCATGCATGACACAGTGAGTTCAAATCCCAGCATCAGAACTCTAAAACAACTCAAAGTAAGTTCTAGCCAGCTCATTATTTATGTGCAAAAATCCAAGGTCAAACGTGCAGGTCATGTTCCAAGTTCAGGTCATGTTCCTTGTTATCTATGCATCAGATGACGGAGCCTTGCACTCCTTCACTAGAAGTGTCAGCACACAGGATGATTAGTGTCAGTCCCTCTAACTCTGTGAGGCAAAAATATAAAACATACCCTTTCTTACCTGAAAGACCAGGGCATATGCTTCTTAGAGGACTAATTAGTAACTAGACTATGATTCTATTTTTGTTAACATGATGCAGGGGCATTAATTTTATAATGGGTAAGATGGACTATAGCCAGAGCACTTCCTGACCTGATAAGCTAGATTAGTCTTATTAGCACACACTTAACCTGGAAGGAATCATGTTTCTCTCTCATCTGCAAGTTTACTGTGGAACCTCTGGAGTCCTGCAAACAGCAGTGCTCCCTTCAGAAGAATCATCACTGCTCACGTGTACTGCTTTGGCATGGTATGAGTTCTCCACTTAACAAGCCCTGGGATGATTGGTCAACAGCTGACAAGAACTGCTCCTGCTCACAATGATCTCTCTAGAAAGACAGCGTTGTGAAAGTTTGTTACAGTGCAGCTGGTAAAAGGAGGATGAAACTGAAGGCCACCCGCCAGCCAAGACCTCAGCACTGTAGAACCTCTGTGCCCAAGGGCAGGCGAATGACGGCCTTGTGGGAGGTTTTGAGGTTGAGGCTAATCTATAAAGGATGATTTATTGAAAGCACTTTTGGAATTGTGCCTGGGTTTGGTGTTTTAGAGATTGTTACCTTACATGCTATGGTGAGATAACACAGTGAAAGTCTGGCTGAGGAAGATGGCTTTTTTTTTTTTTTTTTTCTGGTGAGGAAAAGGGAAATGGCGATCCTCAAAGGCAGCTAACTGGATGGCATCTTTCTCAGGTGAATCAATTTTAGGAAAGATCACACATGCAAAATGATGGCCAGAAAGTCTTCCTATCAAAGTCTTCTCATAACCTGGGTCCTGGTTGAGTACCACTGGAGAAGTCTTCCAGAAAGAGCAGAATAGGCTAAGCCCATCAAGCCTGTCAGTTAAGTCACACCCCTGGCCATAAAAGTTGTCAGGGTAGACACCCTGCTCCATGCTCCCAACAGTACTCCCTGGCAAGGGCTCAGAACTAACACAGTCCTGAGCTGACTAAGCTATTGTTAGCTAGGGATGCTTAGGGACACACTAAGACAAATGGTCTCCATCCTGCATCCCCAGGGGTCACACATCTCTGTACCCCCACTAGAAACAATGCTGTGGCATGACTATTTAATCAATATACCAATTACAAGAAAAAAAAATCAAAACATCTTTTGTCATGGAAATCCCTCCCCAAAGCAATCAGTGACTGAATTCTGCTACAGAATTTGCTGTCCCTCTCCAAAATGCTAACATGTGGGGGAGAAGTAGAAGTGGGGAGAGGAGAATGATGAAGATTCAGCAGTAGGCAGCCTCCTGGTAAAGGAAATAAGAGCTGAGAAGACCTCTCAGGCGACGGCTAAAGTAAATACCAGGTGGAGATACCAGCCGTGTGTCCTTGAGCTCCCATGAGCCTGCTGGGGACTGATGTGGCAATTCTACAATCACCTCGCTGAGCCAGTAGAGGAAGTCTATGAGGCTAACAGCACAGAGAATGGCTGCCATGGCATGCTGTAACCACACAGGCATCATTATCATGACCTTCCGG